TCAGAACTTGCAGGAATAGTCTCTTACTCTTTATTAAGAGCCACCCCTTCTCCCATGATGAAAGATGCTGAAAAGCCTTTTCCCCTGCAAGACAACAGGTGCCTCCTCAGGAGATATTCCCACCTCCTCAACTGACAACCAGGTCAATAACTCAGCTAGGAATGCACAGTACCTAATAAGGGAGCAAGAAGGCTATGCATTGAAAATGCTATATGAATTAGTGAGTATGTGCTGTCAGAAGAGTATGTGTGTCCTCCTTCTGGCATTGGATTTTGAGGGTTCTTGATGAAGGAGGGCTGAATGGAAGATGATAAATAAGAATTCATTGACTTTATGGATATATGGTATTTAAGATACTGGCCAGGATCCAAGAAGATGAGGCAAACTTGCTGCTAGGGTGGTTCTTAGCCTGAACACAGCAATAGCTAAGGCTGAGTGAGGCAGAAATGCCCTATTTGTTCCTCGTAGAGAGTGGAGAAAGAAGTAAACAGGCTGAGGCACATGGAATTGATATGTTGTGTGAAGCTGGAAGACCCATCAGGGCATGTTCTATGGGGGGGCCCAGAGGACCCGCCCATTATCAAAGCCACTAGATGAGGTGCGGATTGGAGCTCCAGCATGCTACGAAGTTCAACGTTGGCTCTTCCCCATGGGTGAAGGCTGACCATAGGAGGGGCAGCTACAGAGCTAGGTTCTTAGAGTGAGGCTGCACTGGGAGGAAACAGCACCAGCCTGGAGGGCTAGAGGAGCAAGGGTGAGAAGAGAATATATGAAAGTAGCTGATTAGTTGTCACTTTCTCTAGAAAGTCCTCACCTTAGTAGGCATCTGCCTTGATACTTCCAAAATTTCTGGTCTGCATTGCTGTGACTAGTTTCTGGTATGCAAAACAAGCAAACATCATCTCAAGGCAATATCAGGGAAGGCAGGGTGCTGTGGGAACAAGAGAGTAAAACCTAGTGTTTCTTTCAAGTGTTCTCTTATTCCACTCTGGGCTTCAGCCGCCCACCCTCTCTACATACTCCAGTTCAGGATAGCTCAGTCTCCTAGCCTCTCACTTTCATTATAATTTCCTGGCCTAGAATTAATGTTTACTTCTTTCTTCTATAGTTGATTTGATTGGGTTTATTTGGAGGGAGTAAGTATCCTATGCATATATGCATATATATGTGTAAGTGTGCACATAAAATGATGCCATTTTTGAAAAAAGTGGGTAAACTCTTGATAACTGTATGGATGTTTCTGTTTATATGGACAGAGGGAAAAATATGAAAGGATATATAAAACTTTAAACTTTGATTAACTTAGGAGAAAATGGCAAGAGGTTGCCAGATTTTTCTTTGTATTACTCTACATTGGAACACAACTCATTATAGCTTGAAATGAGATAATAAAATAAAATTTAAAAATAACATGGATCAGGAGATGGCAGCATAGTAACACATTTGGTCTAAGTTTCTTAGTGCCTTGCAGGAGTGTTTTTTTCTTTTTTAATTCAAGTTGACTTGGCATACATATTATATTAGTTTCAACTGTAAAATATAGTTATTCAACATTTATGTTTTTATACATTTTTATGATATTAAGGACTGTGTTCCCTATGCTGTATGTTACATACTGTGACTTATTTTATAACTGGAAATTTGTGCCTCTTATTCCCCTTCATGTTTTTTTCTTATCATTCCTTCCCTTCTGGCAACTAAAATGACATTAGCAGATTGTGCAATACAATATTTTATTTGAGTTGGCTTCTTGCTTAAGACATCATTTGGTATTTTCAACTTTGCGACTAAAGTACTCTGATATTTCTCCATTACTTGATACTCTTCCTCGGTTGTCATTAATGTATCTCTTTGGGCTACAAGAAATTCCCTGTTTATTCAAAAAGCAACAAAATAACTCTTTTATTCTTTAATATACCATTAATAGGAAAATATCAGGGATCTTTGGAAGATAGAAAACCTGTTTCTGACCACTGCCATCTACCTGTGGGTGTCTGGTGGGCCTGCTATCGTTCACATAGAGTTTCACCTCTCCACTTTCAGTGCACCAAGGGTTTGCTACTTTCAACAGTGGTAATCAAAATCACTTCTACCTTTGTATGTGATCTTGAAAAGGGACTTGACTTTATGCACAGTTATATACCCAGTGTCTAGAATACCCAATGTCTGACACAGAGAAGCTCAAGAAATACTAGGCGAATAAGTGATTATGTAAGTCAATGATTTTCAATAGGGGTGCTGCAAGAATTTTTAAAACATGCAATACCTGACTATTTAATCAGGGGCACTGAGCTCTTTTTCTTTAAATTGCCAAATAAAAAAGTGACAACAGCCAATACAATAGCTGTCTGGTGTGACTGAATCAAAATTATACCTCCTTTTTTGTCATATTGACCAAAAAAACCCTATTTTTTCATGTGCCGCAGAATTTTAGTAATTAGCTTATGTGTGCCATGAAATGAAAAAGGTTGACAATCACTGATGTGAGTAGTTACATAGAATGTTCTAGGTCAGTGGTATCCAATAAAACTTTCTGCAATGCTGGAAATGATGTATATCTGTGCTGCCCAATGTACCAGAGGTGGCTACTTTATGTCTAGAATGTGATTAGTATGATTGAGACAATGAATTTTTGTTAGTATTTAATTTAAATTAATTTAAATTTAAATAGCTCCATCTGATTAGTGCCTGTGACATTGGACAGTTCAGCTTTTACTGCATAGTATGGCTATGCAACTCTCTATCCTCCACTCCACACTGTTAGTGAAAGATGGACTAGACCACTCTGCCTTGGCTAAATAAAAATGTTGTTTCAAGTAGTATCTCTTTATTCATTTTGAAGAGATTCTAACAAGTGTATATGGTGAAATTTTGCAGGATTTAGGTGTTTGAGAAATCTCTCTCTCTCTCCCTCTACATACACACACATACCTCTCTATGTGTGGGTCTCTATGGGTCTCTATGTATCTCTATCTATTATCTATCTATCTATTCATCTATCTATCTATCAGTCATCATCATCTATCAATAAATAGGTAGAGAGAGAGAGAAATTATTTGCCCATTGCAGCCCAGCCTTCAAAAAGCCTCCTTCCTCCAGTCAGGTTCAGGTTCAAAATAATCTTAACGTGGCTAGAATAGTTTAGATAGGAGTGTGATCATGACGGTCTCTTAGCCTCCTCAGTGTATTAGCATTACAAAAATGGGAGAAGATATTTCCAAATTCATATAAGGAAATTATGTGTACAAGATTTTAACAGTGATTTTTTTCCTTTGAGTGTTGACCCCATGTTGGTGGTTCTCAAGTGAGGGTGACTTTGCTCCTCAGGGGACATTTTGCAATGTCTGGATTAATTTTGTTTGTCACAGCTTGGTGGGGTTACCACTGACACCCACTGTGTAGAGAGAATGCTGCTCAACCTTCCCCAAGGCAGAGGATAGCTGCCACCCCTCCAAGTCCCCCGGAGATTAATCTCTGACAAAAACGTCAGTTGTACCAAGGATGAGAAGCTTTGCAGTGTAGTGATGATTCAAAGAGAATGGGTTTGACTTTATTATCATAAATATATTTTAATGTATATAACATAATACTATGTGCAGAGAGACTCTCCCTTGATATAAAACTAAAAAAAATCTTAATATTGGCAGTTATTTCATTAACTAGATTAATTGTAAAAAGAGGGGGTGAAGAAAAAGGTTTAGATGCACAGAAAAAGTTTGAGCTTTGTTGAACATTAGTAATGTCATGTTCTCATGTACAGTGTCACAAACATACATTTAAATATATTAAAAATGACTATTTTATCACAATAATTAAACCATTTTAAACATGCTTTCTTGATTATTTGAGTATTATCCATAAATACCACTCTTCAAAGAATGACTAGCTTTTTAACAGAAAATTGAAATATTATACAATGAAGTCTTTCCCAAAATTTTGTATTGAATTGTCCATGAATGTCTAATTTTATATTGGCTTCTGTAAGTTATTTATGAATATCTTTATATTGACTTTGCATTATGTGGATTCCTTAATCATTCTGAAGTTAATTAAAAATAAAACTGTTTAGAAAATAAACCCCATTAGGAGATGATTAAATAGAATTAAAGAGTAAATTTGCACCAAGCTTGGAAATTCTCCTATTTTTTGAGAAGAAGTCGTTCCTTTTCCCCCAGTCCTTGCCTCTTCTTCTCACTTCTACCCACTGAAAAGGCCAAGAAACTTTATTTTCTGAATACAGAACAACATTTTTATATAGGTTAGAACAAAATCAGTGCTAAGCACTATTTTCAGGTCTCCTGCTGTGTGACCCAAGGATTTAGTAATTGTTCCAAAGTAAAAAATTAGTGTAAGTGTTTAAAGAGATTAAAATCTGCAATGTTGGGCATAAATAGAAATGACAGCTCTTTTCAAGTATCAAAGAGAGGTTAAATGTGCATCTGAGGGCAAAGGGGCAAGGGCTCACAGTAGTGCCACCTCTTAAGTCCTAGTTTCACATCTGGTGCCCCTCCATCATTTGTGTTAGCATTGGCCAAAACTAATTACCTTGATTTGTCTAGTACATGGACCTAAAGGTTCTTAATGAGAATTATATGATGAGGAGGTAAAAGCTGTGGAGTGAGATGAGGGCCATGTGCTCTGTCAGGGGAAAAATATCGAGAATGCTTAGCCTTTTTGTATGTATCTGCTTAAAATGCTGGATTAGTCTAACATGAGAAGTATGTCACAGGGACAGAAAGGCGAGCAAGGAGGTCATCAGAGACACTTAGCAGCAACTGCGGATTTTTGAGGAGTTGACGGTATCTTTTACTTCCATGGTCAAAACACTTCAGATTATGTGAAAGAAAGCCTACTTTTTCCTCCTATTTATGGGGAGAGTTGTCAGATCATGCTTATTTGCATCTTGAACTCCATGACAGAATATATGGCAACACATGCTAGACACAGCTTGCTAGACACCACACATGACATTTACATTTTGGAGGTAGATGGTTGTTGCATTAGATGTTAGTTTTAGATTTAATCCAGTCCCGATAACGAGTCACTTTTGTATAAATTCCAGGCTTGTTTTCTTTTCCACAGTCTATTCCCCAGCTTACTATTCCAATAAGGTACCAGATGTTTGTACCACGTGCTATAACCAGAGGTCCCCCAGAATCACCCTAAAAAAGAAGAAAAAATATCATTAATGTAATAAATAAAGGAGTGTAAGAATGACAATAAATTAGTAATCTGAATGTCTAATAAATTAATATTTTGAAGTATGTAAAACTAATTCTATTTTTATTTAGTATGAAAATTGCCCTTATTATCTCTGCTTATGTCTATTAATATCTTTGTATTATCCTATATTGGATTGCAGCCCATATAAATGGACTAGAAATTCTGGCATAGTAACACAAAAATTTTGCATGAATAAGTGAATGAATGTTTATTACCATCATATGATAGACAGCAAATGGTAGATCAATAGTCATACCTTTGCAAGTAAGAAGAACACTCATATGTGTGAAACTCGCAAAGCCATTCTTAGTCTTCAAAGAAATGTGAAAATTTTAGACTTAGTGTCAAATGCTAGAGGTAAAATCTTTATTAATTTTGATATTTATTTTTCTCTCTTTAAATAACCAGACTTTAAACATGATATTCTCTTTAAGCGCTTTAAATGCTTAAATAGTTTTTTTGTAAATTGTGTAATTCTATCTGAATGAACACTATTTAAGGTCAAAGGTTTGAGCACCCATGGGGTGATGTTCTATTGGCCATGGAGATATCTGTCGATCCCATCCCACAGTAGCTCATGACAAGTAAGGATTAGATATCTAACTATCATAACTATGGCTTGAAGCAATGATTATGTGACTTAGTTTTTCTTATCTGCTACCACACCTTTTCTCTAATCAGAGCCCTAATGTGCAGCTAGTGATCATTGTTTTTACATGTGGATATAGCAATAATAGGAGTATTTCTTATGGTTCTTTAATTCTGCTCTCTCCTCTAAGACTTAATTGTATAGAGTCCCACTAAGTAACATTGATCTATGGTCAGTGAGGTCACCTGGATTCAACAAATTCACTTTTGTGGAGTTGAGTCTATTCTTACCTCACATGCATCGAGTTTTCCTGACAAGAATCCAGCACATATCATTCCTGATGACACAGCACCACCATATACATTAATTTGATTACATATATTATTACTTATGATCTCTATTTCAACTTGTCTCAGAGTATTGGGAAAGGGACCTAAAGAAGAAAAAAATGAGTAGGTGAAGAATTTCCAAATTCTTGTTTATGATAGTTAATTGTGTCTTGCAAAGCATAGATCAATGGTAAAACATAGTCTGGAAGTTGTGGGACTCTGGGCTTGATGACAGGGCTCAGAATCAAGTTATGTTTCTTGGATACCTTCTCACTTTCTATGTGTTAGGTATCATTCTTGGCATGTTTACTTCCACTATCTTGTTTAATCCTTGTAACACCTACTAAAGTAGGTATGAATATTCTCTTTTTCACATGAATAAACCAAAGCTCAGATAGTTATGCTTCTTGCTATGATCACATAGCTCAATGGGAATAATATTAGATTTAAACCCAAGGCATTTATCACCACCTGGGGAATTCTGTGACAGTTTATCTAATTTACCTGGAAATCTGCCTTCATTGTGAATTGAGAATTTTCTAGGAAAAGCAATATGGAGCAAGTCTTTACTATCAGGAAGTAACTTTACTATTAAACAGATGAAATATTATTGCTTCATTAAAAAAACTCTCTCTACTTTGGTAATAGCTCAAATTGCTATCCAAAGATAATACCAAGGTAAATTATAAATACCAAGATAAGAACTATATTACATTTCATTAATGACCCACACACTTATGATTTGTTATGATATGAAAAGTATTATTTAGTTGTGTACACCATCGTTTTAGCCAGTATATTCTTCTCATTTCCTTTTAATAGCTTCCATTTTAAAGACTGTATTAGCTCTTCATATAAAGATGATACTCTATTTATAACAGGTTCAAAGACAATTGAGGAGATGAAGGAGGATGGGGCTGTTGATTTGAGGAACAAGTAAGAGTAATTCTGTGCTAGGGACTATGGTTTTAAAGGAAGAAGATATGAGTTTGTACATTTTGAACAATTCACATGCTATCTGGCCTTGGGAAAGTTACTTAATCTTACTAAGCCCCATTTTACTCACTGTAAAAAGGAGAAAATGATACTTCACACATTTATTATAAGGGCTAAAAAATAATTAACACAATCAGTTATGATAATGCCTTTTCCCATATTTAGATTTCAATCAATGGAAGCTATTGGAGAAATAGGGTTGTGTATTTAAAATCCTAATGGTCTAAAAGCTGCGCTTTAATGTTAATGATGGATGGTGATAGCAAGAACTTTTGTAAAAGAAAATCTAGATTACTAGGAATTTTGTTATTCATCATAAATAAATCTAATTCTTTATTTTTGAAACTAGTACATTCACCTACCTAGGACTGACCATCCTGCTGATAAACTAAGTCTTACCCCTCTGTAGTCACTAAAGATTCTCCTGGGTCTAGTGAATTTTTCATCTCAGTCATCATTTTTAAGCATGGGAGGGTCATTAAATGACCATTTTCTCTTTGCTTCATCTTTGAGTTTGCTTGGAATGCTCCCAGTGAATTTGATTACCATCTGCTCTCTACACAGCTTTTTAAATAATACAAACTATTTGTGTATGTGCATCAGCAATATTCAGTATGATCTCTTTTGCTGTCTCTAATTGGCATTTGAAATTTATAGGTATTCACAGGCTTTAATCAACTGTGTCCCAACTACTTTTAATTTCCATGTGCCTATTTTCATTTTAGCTCATTGTTCTATGGTGCTTAGTTTTAAATTATAACTGCTTTTACTTCTTTAAACTCAACTTCTAAAAAGTCAACTTAAGTAATTAACAATATAACAAGCTATTTTACATTAACAAACTATTCATGGAAGAAACTATCCAGAGTAGAAAGTTTTTTAATGCAAGCTGTCTGGTAACGAGATTTTCAATGAGATACAATGGGAGATAGAAGAAGAAAATCTGGGTAGCCCATTTTTCAGTTTCAAAATGCAGGAGGAAAAAACAAACATAAGCAAATATCTAATATTAAAGCTTAGTCTGATGTCATAATGTTATTCCTGAAAAGTATGCAACTTGTTAGAACACAGAAATCAATGCACAGCAATCTGCACACTATTGGGCATTGACTAATTCATGAAGTCACAGATCACTCCTAAACAACTACTTCTACTCCTGAAAGAGGTGGAGTTTAGTTTAATTAGGTTCTAGAGGAAGTGAAATGGTTCTGCTGCATTGATAGTTGCTATATGTTTCTATTCTAATTAGTAAGTGGTTTGTCTAATCCCGAAGGATTTACTTCCCCTTCACATTTATCACCATTGTCTATAGAACAAAGCAGATCTCCCAGAGATGAGGGAAAGAACTCTCAGGTTATAACAACAGAATGTCAACCTGGACTCCATGTCAAAATTTTGAAGTGCATATTGAGGGAAAACAGACTTCTATAAAATTCAACTGATGAACACTCAGTAGATTAAAAAAAAGCTATACCTTGAGCAAAAAAATAAATAAGACTACAATTTCATAATAAGAGCCTGTAATGAGAACCAGAAATTCAAGGTCAGGTTAAACCATATGTAAAAAGTGCAACCAGGAGAGACTCATATTAGTATCTAAGTGTATATCTGCAGTTTATTGTGTATTTATTATTTAGTAAAATATCTACTTGTTAAGTTTATAAACTTTCAAATTCAAAAACTATTTCATAGACACATGGATCAGATGACCCCCATTTAATATTTAGCATCAGAAATCCCATTCCAATTGCTTGCTTAAGACTATTTCTGTTTATTCATATGATACATTACAGAAGCTTATTGTTACTACTGTTTACAAATAGCATGTTTGAAAACTCATGCAAAGCTCATACATAGAATCTATACATATGAAAGACAGCAACAAAAGAAAAATATGAACAAATTACGTTTGGAAAAAAAGTTATAACGTTTCGAGAAGCCCACGAAGAAGACTATTATATAGATATTATGTAGTAGTAATAGCCAAAATTTTCATGATTCACTATATCTGGGCTTTCATTTGTTGTTTTCACTATATTTTCATGGGACCCATTGATTTCATCTTTTATTTTCTCTATTTTGATTTGGTAACATTTTATATCTCTACTCAGATTGAGGTTTTTATCTTTTCGCTTGAATGTTTTTACTGAGATACTCACCATTTGCTTTAAATGCTCCCCATCCAGTGACAAACACTTTATTCTTAGGCAAGACTTCAAAAGTGGCATCTGGGAGGCAGACTCTGTGCACATCTTCAGAAAACAGGATAGGGGTGGAGAGCTTCACCACAGCGATGTCATCATCGTGCTTATGGGCAGCATAATTTTCATGAATGATAATTGACTGCACCTTTCTTCTCATTAGTGGAGGGCTTAGAGTTGTTCCAAAACTAGCCATCCAGAGTTTGGGGTTTTTGTAACTGATCACAGATTAAAAGGATTACAGTTGGTTCGTTTCTGATCTAAAGTTACCCAGGACTCTGGATGAGCATGGGACATAGGGCGGGAGAAGGGCGAGTTGTTTAAGATGACAGTTGATTGGGACTCTCCCACCTTCTCATTTGCAGCTTCTCCCCAAACTCTGCTTTGTGTTCATTTAGCTGATGACAACCCCCCACATTCTAATGTAGCTTTAATTACTCTCCCCGAGGGGGAGTTTGTATGTTTTTTAAAGGAAACAATGTGTGTATGTTATTGCTATTTTTGAAGAAAATATAAATTAAAAAAATTAGAGATACACACACATACACACTCATATTCGTGCACAGTTATATATACACACATATATAGTTATATATAAATGTGTGTGTGTGTATATATATAGTTATGGAGAGAGAAGAGGGGAGAGAGGGGAAGAGAGAGAGAGAGGTGGTAATATTTGAACCAAGATTTAGAAATTCTTTAATTCTTTTCTCATCATTTCTTTTAGGTTAACATTTTATCCAGAATATTTTCCCATTTTATATGAATTTCACTAGAGGTACTGTATCTCTTTACTGTCTCTAAGTGTCCCATATGTTAAATCTTCAATGAACATATAAATAATAAAAGTAGAGACCAAAGTTATTCATATGGAATAACCAGAAGTAAATTTGGGCACTCGGATACTATTAACAGAATTTTTTAAAAACCCATAATATAGCTCAGGAAAACTGGTGAGTGTGTTTACATTTTGGCAATGTTGGCTTGTTCCTAGTTAAAATTGACATTGCCTGGATATACACTTAGAGGTGAAGATACTCTGTCTTTTTTTCCCTACTATTCAGTAATTGTTACTTCTCCTGAGCCTGCAGGAAAATCATTGGTACCATTGTGGGACAGGGACTAAGAGGATTAATGAAAAAAGGGATAAGTATTATAGAAAATGAAGGTGAGACAGAGAAATGAAATCTGTCGGTACAGACTGAGGACTTACGTGTCGAAGCAATGAGCGGCAGTCAGGAGCCACTCCTCACTGATCAAAGATGCCCCACAGAAATGCATGCCATCCATTTGCAGGCTGGCTTGCCATGGCCAATCAGCTTTCCTGGCAACATAACCAGCAGCAATTTTTTCCATGGACGGAGACTCCCTCCCTAAACCACAACCTGTCACAAGACAATAAGGTGATTATTTCCAGAGTTATAAATGTGGTATGTTGGCACATAGTAAAAGATGGGAACATTTGTAGGTTTGCCTTGCTTTAAAAATTTATCAAACTTATATGATAGAATAATAATTATTAACATTGAAAAAAAGATTAACTAAAAAAGTGACATTTTTAATATACCCCCTAACATATTTAAAGCAATTTCACTCAACTTTTAAAACATATTTCTTGGGTCATATTCTTATGTGCAGCGTTTACCCCAGCGATATTTGACAATTTTGATTTTTAAATGTATACTAATTATTGCAGAAAAATGCTATTTTTACTATATTAAACACTTATCTAAAATTACAACCATTAGACTACTATAGTATAAATGTTCAAGTTTACATATTAAAGTTAGTATCATTTATTTCTAAGAAAGATTTTCTACTTAAAGTAGCCAAACAAAAATAAGTAAGATAAAATGAAGGAATTTTTAAAAGAAGGCATCAGTGAAATCTTCTAATAGGAAGAGCAAGTTATTTCCAAGGAGTCCCTATGGCATATTCCCAATCAGTAGGAGTCATTATTTTCCCTTGAGGAGAGTGAAATCATATCCATTCAGTGATATTATGTACTTTTGGAAATGTCAATACTAAACATGGGAGTAAAGAAACTCTCAAAAGTGTTTTAAATTTTTATTATTTGATTTATAAATATCTCAGTGGTATTCTTGAACTTACCACTGTTCACGATGTGTTCTGCTTGTGCTTCACTTACAGCTGGAAAAAAACACACGATGATCACTCAGCAGTGAAACAATTATAATGTAAAACACTACACTTACATGAGATGAATATTTCTGGTTGCGAGGCACTGAGTCAGGAAATACTTCATTTAAAAGCAATAGAATAAAATCCTGCAAAAAAGAGAGGCTTAGATATATATTAAACTCTTCTCTGACTACTATATGTGGACTCCAGGAAAACACTGGTTTGTGATTATAAAAACATTGGCCAAGAGGACAGCATGTAATTAATTAATTCCATTCCAATTTATTGAAATATAAGTGAAACAGAAGAGGGTCTGAGATTATTTTTACATGCACTACCATATGTTTGGTCACCATTCTCCACTGTCCTCATTTGCACGGCAGTCTTACTGTAAAAGCATTCCAGAATTTTAGGCACCTGGCTTCTAGGCTTGGTCCACAGATGGTCACTGTGGGATCCAAATCCACCAGTGTGCTGACAGATCCTCAAATCAAAATCCTCTGTTATGTTTTCATGAAGTAAAATAGGGAGAAGAACCATGATTGGTAGTCGTTCTCCACAAGAAATGTGAACTCTTATGTCAGATAGTATAATAAGCAACCTAGACCCACACCTTGTAACAGTGAAAGCTAGTGTAAAGTTTCTGTAAGCCTGCAAATTAATGCATCTTTAATGTAGGTCAGACACTACAGAGGATATCAAATTCATCTGTGGGTAACTATGGGTAGGGAGTTTATTAGAGTAAGTCCCTTAGAATTAGTTTTAGCTATTAATAACACTCTTTTAATGGTTTCCATTGCCTTTAGAATAAACCAAAACTTCCTACCTGGATCTACATGACGTAGTCCCTGTTATGTCTTTGTTCATGTGTTGAACTACTCTTGCTTTTAGTCAACCCATTTGCCAACTTGGCCTTCCCATTTTTTTGACTATGCCAAGGTGTTTCTTCCTTTTCTTTGTTCTTGCTGTCCCTTCTGCCAGGAATGCTTTCCCCCTGGGCGCGCGCAAGAGAGAGAGAGTGTGTGTGTGTGTGTGTGTGTGTGTGTGTGTGTGTGTTGGTTCCCCATTGTCATTCAGATCACAACTTTGAAATCCTCTCCCCAAAGAGATCTTCCATGACAACCAAATCTAAATTAGCCTTCTATTCTCTGCATAAAATTTTATGTTATTGGATATTGCTTTATGGGATCATTATCTTTCTTACCCCAGTTAGAATGTGAGCCCCATGAGCATGGAGAATTTAGTTCTTGGCACAAATTGGTTCTCAATAAATACTTGCTGAATTAATAGATGAGTAGTAATGATAACTAGTAATTTACTATTATGTACCAGGGATTGTGACAAGTATTTCACATTACTTACTTATTATATCTTCACAATAATATTATGAGCCAAATTAAGGACATGATTTAAATAGTTCTTGTGGCCAACAGCTTGTCCTGCAACCATTTCACTGTAAGGTCAGTTATCGTTCAGTGTCACCCTCTTCATGTTATGGATTAGCAAGAGAGAGCTGACATTATGGTTAGCTCATAGATAATTTTAACTTAGGCTCATTACTACATATGAAGAAATTATTGATGAACTTCTATGATGGTGCTATATCTCACACATGAACATTATCCAATAGATGGTTCTATCTGCAGGATAAAAACAGCTACTCTATCCATCAGATAACAAGAAAACAACTCTGGAAGCTAGAAGGGAAAAGGCAGAATGGCTAGAGACTTCAGGATTTCAGGAAGGACAATATGGTGAGGTTCCTCAAATTTCTCTTTATCTCACATATGCTTGGGACTGGAGACTGAAAGAGGCCTGCAATCTGGAACCACCAATAGGCATAGACAAAAAATCCTAAGAGAAATCTTTTACTCTCCATCCAAATCCAGGGAAAGAGGAAGCATAACAAAGGCTTAGTGGGGAGGCCAAACCTTCTACTTCACAACTCAGGACTGGCAATCCATTCTGCCAGCAGTACTAACAGCAGGGACAGCAGGAAGTCCTTGATCATCCCAACATTCACTTCTGAACCAGGTCACCAGCTGGCAGACAGATATACCCACAGGGACAATATCAATCTGCATCCACCCATTAACATAAGTAGGCCAAGTCTCACTGTATACCTTCACGGGGGTGGCCCAGGGATAGAAGGCAGGCCAGAGAATCATGTTCTATTTCCATAGATGGTGCCAGCAGCAGGATTAAGAAGAAATATCAGAAGACTAAAATAGCACTGCAAGGACTCTGAAAACTAAAAATTATTATCAAAAGGACAACAGTAAGTGGGATTCTAAACTGCAAATCTAAACAGGTTGACTACCTGCCAACAAAGAAGAATTAAATAGGATTGAGAATCTCCTAGAATAATAACTAAAAGGTTCAAATACAAACAAAAATTACTTGCCATACCAAAACCCAAGAACACCACAATCTGAATGAGAAAAGGCAATAAATGGATGCCAATACCGAGATGAATCAGACACTGGAGATATCTGATGCAGATTTTAAAGCATTTGCCATAAAAATAATTCAGCAATCAATTATAAATTCTCTTGGAAGAAGTAAAAAAAATGAAAGGAAGAAAACCTAAGAAAATAAATAGAAGTTATAAGAAATAACCAAATAGAAAAGAATTGAAAAATACAATAATAAAACCAAACTTGCTGGGTGGATGATAGGAAAACAGAAACAGTGAACTGGAGACAAATCAATAAAATTTACTCAGTTTGAAGAACAGAAAGAATATAGACTAAAATAACAAAGTTTCTGAGGTCTGTGGTATGATAATAACGACAAGTACTACCAAAAATACTCATATAATGAGGAAAGAAGAAGAGCATGGGAAAAAAAGTATTCAGAGACTAATGGCGGAGAACTTCCCGTATTTGGATAAAGACAGAAACCTATAGACTTAAGAAGTGGATATATCTTAAAAATGAAAAACTAAAGAAATCCACACCCAAATCCATCATAATTAAACTAGTAAAACCTAAAGACAAAGAAATAGAGAAAAACCATATGTTACCTATAAAGTAACATCAATGCAAATAATAGCAGTTCTTGCATTTGAAATGATAATGTCCAAAAGGAAGTGGGTGTAGCATTTTTCAACTTCTGAAAGAAAAAAAACTACTAACCAAAAATCCTATTTCCAGTGAAAGTATATTCAGAAATGAGGAAGAAATAAAGATATTCTTAGATGAAGGAAACTAAGAGTTTCTATCAGACCTATCTTTCTTATATAATGGCTAAAAGAAACTATCCAAACTAAAAGCAAATGATACCAGAAGAAGGCTAGAACATTCAAAAAAGAAGAAGGCATAATGGGTAAAATTAAAAATAAACATCATAGACTATCTTTTACCTCATGAGTTTCTTTAAACATATTTGTTGTTAAAGGACAAGGTATAGCATCCATCTGATGAGCTGAATGTATATGGAGGAAATATATCTAAAATATGAGGAGGATAAGGAGACTAAGTGGAAATAAAAGTTCAGCACTTCATTTGAAGTGGAGAAATGTTGACACTACTGTACCATAGTAGTTAGTTACATATGCATATGTTAATACCTAGAGCTGCCACTTGGACAGCTTTCCATAGAGGTAAGCCTCGAGAGAATTATGCTACGCAGAAAAGGCCGCTCTAAAAGCCATATAAAATGTATGATTCTATTTATGTAACATTCATGAAATAATACAGGTACGTAGCTGGAGGATGGATGAGTGTTTGTCTGGGGCTAGAGCTGGGCGGAGGGGATGGGCATGGCTACAGAGAGGTGCACGCGGGAGTCCTGCCATGGCATGGTAGTGGCGCGCGGGGGTTTTTAAAAGTCACATGCACGGCTAATCAATTCAAATGATTACACTCTCTCTCTTTCAGAAAAGTAGGAAATACTAGTATTTTTGTGTTGTTATATAATTATTCTTTCATAATTATTTCCATATTAACCCAAGGAAGATCATCTGGGTGTTGACTATGTGCGGTCTTGTTTATTATCGAGTAAATGAGAGACTTAAAAATGAAAAGTAGTTTCATTTTGTGGTGAAATAAAGAATCTTTTTCTGTAGCTGAGAAGACAGTTAAAATGATGAACCATAATAACGAATGAAAAATGGTATTTCTTGCCTCTAAGATAAGGTAAAGTAGAATCTGTCTTCAAGAAGCTTTCATTTAATTTTAACTTCTGATACAAAATATTAGCAGCTTGACTTTTTATTGTGTCTGCATTGTTAGAAACAAATTGAAATTTAAGCAATACATCTGTTTTCAAACCATCATTACTTGACCTGAAAAACAAAAACACCAGAATAAATGAAGAAGTCATAGCCATATTATTATTTTATACCTTATTATTTAAATATTAGTTATATTGTCAAAAAATATAACAAATATTTTATACACTTTATTATCATGGACTTATTTCCTTTCCTGTCCCATAGAGATGTTAATACATAAATTATTTCCTGCTTGTAAAACTTGATCATGTTCAGGAGGGAAAAATAACTGAGAGTTCTAGAATATATTTTTTTCTGGAAAAATAAAATCACCTGTTAAATTCATCAACTCTGTCTACATATACTTTTTCTTGATTTTTAAAAATTTATAATATCTCTTTATATTTAAATTTTAAAGTTTTGTAAATTTATTTAATGACTGAGAATCTTTAACTGAAATGCAAATTTTTAAAATGACAACAAGTAGAATATATTTCATTTTTATTCAAGTTAAGAAAAACTCTTATAGGTATTCTGTACAAGAGGGATAATAGTTAAATGTATTAATATTATATTATTTTTGCTCTTGCTATATCTAAGATTTTTAGATCCTGACCACAAAGCAAATAATTGAACAATAACTATATAATACAAAATTGCTTTTTTAGTATACATATTGATTAGTTATGATTACCTAAAGTCGACAACATGAGACTTGATATAATGTTGATTTAAACTGGAATTTTGAAATATATTATCTATCTGAGAAAAGAAAAAAAAAACAGTATAGGACATTGTTAAATATGAATTTCACACATTTCAACATATCACAAAAACTTTGTATAAAATTGCAGTGATTCAAATAGCATTTAATTGTAGGTTTGTTTATACTTATCCCTACAAAACTCATTTGGGCACAATCTTGTTATCACAAAGGTCATCTTTGTAATTCCCATATTTTTCTGTGTGTAATATGCACCATGTTTTTAGCCCAAATGTTTAGGAAAAAATCATTTGTTTTAATTTTTTAATTCAATTTTTATTTATCTACATTTAGATACTTGTTTTTTGTATTATAAAAGAATCTTAGCATTTCATTTTGAACATATTACGGTACAAGAAATTTTATGTAACAAATAATTACAAAACACAACAGATACAAGGTATTTCAGGTGCTACCCATGTATAATACATATCCTTATTTTTCCCTCAAAAATTTGGGCAAAAAAAGTGCTCATTATACATGACAACATACAGTAGATGTTGATAGTTGAACAACTTGTAACATGGTAAAGATGGCTGATATAGAGCTAAATTAAGCTAGATATGTCAATAATGAGTATAAAATATACAGAGATGGAGGCACAAAACTAAGTTTCTTTGAAAACCTGATTTATATGGACTTAAAATACACTGTCATTCAAGCTCAGTTATTCTCATGGAGGTATTTAAGAAATCAGTCTTTTAGGCTTTAATAAAACTTTTTAGGCCATATTTTAATCCTGTGGTAAATGGGGGGTAGGAATATGTATTTACTGTATATATTTTTAAAATAAATATTCTAATCAAGAAAAATCATAAAATAATTACTTATAATAAGACTATGCTATTTATGTGTCATTTTGGACTTCTATGAGATAATTTATCTGTAGTATAAGTTCCTGGAAGAAATTATTTCTTACTAAAACCTCAGCTTGTTACAGAATTTGTGGTTTTAAAAATCTTTTCACTAGCACTGCCTCATCAATCTGGCTTTTCAGGGAAAAAAAGATGGATGAAGAACCAAAACTAAAGTCCAAGTCGCAATAATTATTTCTTAAATCAGAAGGGAAGAACTACCAAATTGTGAAACTAGGTGTGCATTGAACAAGTGTTTCTCACTCATCTGATTGGTTTGTGAAATTACTCAGGTAAAGTGCCATGGCATATCATATTAGATAGGTTGGTGAACGTAATTCTACTAAGAAATTAATAGTTATTAAAAAATCAATGACCATGTGTTTTTCTTCTAACTATGAAGGAAAGTTTGTTTTTTTAAGGAAATAGTTTTATATACACATATGTACATTTATGTGACAAAACTAATACATATTCATTGTAAAAAAGTTATAAAAACTGGCAACACAGCAACGTATAATGAAAAGCATTAAAATAATTTCTAAATCACTGTAGAGAGCCTGCTGTTTATATTTTTGGCATAGTACTTCCAGATCTTCTACATAGATTTTTATATATTTTATTATAAATTCTCAGCCTATCTACTTCCATTCTCTTTTCAATTTTTTAAAATTGTTTCTCTTTAAATCACAGCTTTATGAACCATGTTATTGCCCATGGCCATTAAGCATATAAATGGTCTAGACTATTGAACTCCAGAAGATGTCTCTAAATTTCATATTAAGTATTGGTTTTAGTAATTTCTTCTAGGAGAATGTTTGTTAGAACCGTAACCCACAATCTAACTCAGGAAATTATAGCTGATGGGACAAACCTAGCCAGCCACTTGTTTTTGTGTGCGCATCGCCTAAGAGTAGTCTTCACATTAGTTCAGTAGTTGAAAAAATCAAAGAAGAATAATGTTTTGTGATGTCTAAAAATTTTACAAAATTTAACTTTCAGTGTCCTTAGTGGAGTGTTATTGCCTCACAGCCACACTCATTTGTCAACTTAGCGTCTGTGGCTGCAGAGACACTGCAGTGACAGATCTGCATAACTGCAGAGAGGCTGTGTGGCCTGTAAAGCTGAAAATATTTACTATCTGGCATTTTACAGGAAAAAATTGCCCACTCTTGTTCTAAATTACTGTACTTCTATACTATACTTCTAAATATGATAATCTCTTCTTGACATTGTCACCATTTATAGTCTAGGAAACAAGGCTAATACTAGTGGATTGTTCATTTATTTCCTCATCATCTCTTTGATGAGTATTTTTATGATCCTACCATGGGGCAGACTCTGTGACAGGCACTAGAATTATGAGAATGCAAAACTTAGCCTCTCACAGATCCAGAGGGGCCTAAGCATATAAAATCATAATGATATCACAAGGCGGTAAGGTATGGTATATCTATCAGAGCTATGGGAAAAGTTCTGTAAGAGCGCAAGAAACAGATGCTAACATTCATTCAGACATTACTTTTCATACTTTTATTTGCAACATAAACTAATTCTTAGGCTAATTCAGAGATGGGTGTGATTATCCTTATTTTTAGGGGGAATCTTGAGAGGTCAAGTAGTTTTCCTAAAGTTGAGAAGCTGACAAAGTATAAAATTGGGATACAAATCTAGATGTTCTGACTTCAAAGCTTAGACTGCCTTTAATTCAATATCTTTCTTCTGGTAACAAGAGAGTCTATGCCCTGTGAATTCCACTTCGTAGCATCTTTCAACTCATTTCATCACCTTCTGCTTTTGGTTGGGAAATAGTTGAAGAAATATTTCTGAACCTGGCAATAATGGTCTTTTATCTTTGGTCAATACATAGTAGAAACTGTGTATACAACTGAAGTCTTCAGTAGAAGTCTGTGTGTTTCTATGCTCTATTTTTAGGAATAAATGCTCAGTATAACTGCCTACTGTGAAATGTATTAGGGTCACACACTCAGTAGGTGTATGAAAAATGATATATGTTAATACTGTCAGTGCCTGAATGACTGAGTTGTGTTTTCAGATACTTTTTTTTTCTATTCAAGTTATTTATTTTTCTGTTTAGCTTATGTTGTTCAGTCTTTGGTGCAATTATCCTTTTTCCAGTGTACTTGAGATAATGTTGATTAGAGTTGCGAAGATTAGCAAATAAAAATACAATTAAACTTTAATTCACATAAATAATAAATTACTTATTTAGTATAAGCATGTTTTAAATATTGAGTGGTATATTTTTGGGAAGATGTGAAATTAAAATGTAACTGGACATTATGTATTTTATCCAGCAAACCCAGAGTAAGTGTAGCTTGGTGTGTTCTCATCTTGCCTCTTACTTTATTTTAACCTCCTTCTTCCCAACAGTACTGTTAGGGTAAGAATGATACCAGAAAAACATAGACTTACCTCTTCACTGATTTTTTGTTTCAGGTCAGTCCTAATATTTGAGTGTTCTACTGAAAAATCAGGATTATATTTAATACTGGGGATCTGGAAAGAGGTTTGGTAATAGTGCACTTTCTGATCTGGAAGGGAAAAATGCATGGTTTCTCTTTAGTTCAAATGAGTTATATAAATAAGAGAAATGGAGGGGATGGTGTGCAAAAATGTCCTACAATTGATAAACTCCTGAGAATTAAACATTCAACAGCTGTGGCCAATACCTACCTCTTTGTTTTTTAAGATCACACATTCCCTTAGTCATGTAGTTTTCAGTTGTGTCCTGACATAAGTGGAACTCAAATTTAGAATTGCTACTAAAATAATTTTTTATTCGCTGTACACTGAGTAATATTAAACCACATAATAACATAGGATGTAAATCTATGGCATTGGTCAAGAGATAATCTTATGTGAACCAAGTCAAATTTTAAATGCTAGAAGCAGTTTTTATAGATAAAGAATTATAATTTCTGAAATGTAGATAAATTTATGCAAATCAACAGTACATTATGCAGTTTGTATGCATTTATGCAAATTCTTTTTGCAGTGAAAATTGTATTCTAAAATATTAGAAAATACTAAAATTTTGAAATAATTGAATAAATATTTAAAATTTTAAATTTCAAAATAATACAATGAGATAGAGTCTTACCAAATGCCAAAAAATATACAAGGAGACCGATGATTATTGCTAGAACCAACACAACAGCTACAATAATAAGGGCAATCATCCATGGTTTCAAGAAATTTCTTCTTCTGGTTCTTATTGGTGGCCTTTTGAGAGAAAGTTGTATGTTATGAACTTAAACACTAGAATCTCACTTTCACCTAGTTTTGGCATAGAATTTTTAAAAATTCATGGTTAGCTCATTCTGCATTTGGAAATATTTGAATATATTTTTCTATAAAAATTAGAAAAATTACTGTCAGTAAAAGCTCATTGATGTTTGACTTTACATCTTTATTTTATTTTTTATTGTTATTCAATTACAGTTTTCCCTGTTTCCCCCCATAATTCTCCCCCATCCTACCCACCCTCATCTCCTTTATTCAATCCTCCCCCTGCCTGTTATCTTTGTCCATGAGCCCTTTATACATAGTCCTTGAGGGCCCTTCCCCCATCAACCCCCATCCCCCATTCCTCTGGTTACAGTCAGTTTGTTTTTTATTTCCATGTTTCTGGTTCTATTTTGCTCACTTGTTTATTTTGTTGATTAGGTTCCACTTATAGGTGAGATCATATGGTATTTGTCTTTCACTCCCTGGCTTATTTATGCTAAGTGAAATATATCTTGATTTTAAAAAGTCAGAACTATAGTATAGTGACTGCTGTTTTATATATATCCCAGTCCATTAACTAAATGTACTGAAATAGTTTTTCTTTATAAATGAACTAATACCATACATTTGGTTCATGTATTTCAAATCACCATGAGCCTCACGGAGTGAGACAGAGGCTCAGAGTGACTACTACAACCTTGAAGTTGGATGTTGGGGAACCTAGAACTAAGATTTGTGCTATTAGGGTTTTTTTTTCCCACACATCTATATTTAAAATCATAATTCCTGTTTATAAAACAAGTAACCTATAATACATAAAAAGAGTATCTAAAACAGGACACATAGAAGAAGACAATGGAGAATAAGGAAGAAATAATAAACAAACCAAAAAAGATCATTTATATAATGAACAAACAAAGATAGTTCAGAACATTGGAGCCAGGAACTCCATGGCATGAGAACCATTGGTGTTGTATGATGAAGATCTGTTTCATAGTGTCGAAAAAGTCAAACCTATGATTTTTATAGATAATGTTGCAGAGGATAAGGCCATATGGCACAAATAATATCAATTTGAAAAAAATATTAATGCAATAATAGTACTAGTGGCATGCAAATCTGACAAAAATTGTTATCCAGATGATTGGCATTCACAAACCCTTGTGGAAGCTGGAAAAAGTGACAAAACCATTCCCCAAGCCCAGTTTCAGGGCCCACAATCTAAAGGTCAAATGTGAACAATTAGAGAATTGAGGCAAGCTAGAAGTAGACCAACAGGTGTTGTCCAGGAAGATCTAATCCACAAGAGAACTGGAAAAGAATGTGGTTCTGATAGTTGAATGCACTCCTCTTTTTCTGTTGCAAGTACACATGGAAAAAAAGAAGAAATTATCTTCCCTGGGATTGGTAGCTGGTAACGTTAAAGTGGAAAATATAGGCCCCTGCTAAATAATTGAAGATACAACTGAAGTGTGCCTTGTGGAATCAATGATCTGGAAGCAGTAACAATGCTCCCCTATCTCTGTATCTGGGCAAAGCTAGAAGCAGTTTCCCCACCCGAGAACCTATAACTAAACTCTGAAAAGTATCTCAAGTTGTATCAATTCTGAGTTCTGCTGTGTTTCTGGAAGGATATAAAGTTACTCTGGCCTGCTATTTTTTGCTCCTGGCAAGACAAGAGTACTTGAAACAATCTGCAAATATCGGAAGTATCTTTAGAAAAGCTGGGATCCCACTGGGGCACAGACAAGAGCTGATAAACATATTCGTCGCTTTTATTAATGTCTTTATTAAGAGAAGATCCTGTTCATTGTAGTGCAGGAAAATACACCCTTAGAGAAACTTTTGACATTCAAGCAAAAGAAAAATATAAGTGGCCTTACCTTTGAGGTATTCCTGCCAAAGCAAAGATGAGCAGGGATGAAAGCTACCCACTCAACAGGTCAGTCTAGAAAATCCATGACAAAGAGTTTAAAGCATTTTGAAAAGTGTCTTCCTTTTAATCCCTTCCCTACCTTTGTTAATAATCTGAGCATCTCATTACCCAGACTGTCTCCTGGGGAGGTACTTCTTTTACCTCAACAGAATGGAATGAACTCTTCTTGCTCATTTCATTGTCAGCCATTTTCTTTCAATAAACAGTCTTTTACCAAGGTACATCTATAGGTCCTTCTCCCTTGGACAGCTCTCCTGACATCTGTTATTTTTCCTGGCTCTTTTTCAAATGCTTTATATTACCAACTGTTGTCACTCAGTAATTCAAAGATGAGGAATAAAAGGATTTCCTTCTACTGCAAAAATGGCCATGTGATTTGAAGAGCCCATGGTATCTGAAAGACGTTGTTCAGCATAGTGGTTAAGAGTGTAGGTTCTGCAGCAAGCTGACCTGACTTCCTACTCAGGTCCCCCACTATGGGACGTTGGCAGTCATTCAACCTCATTGTACCTCAGCTTCCTTATCTATAAAAGGGGGCCAATAATACCCACCTTGTGGGTATTGTACATTCTTGCAAAGACAGATGAGTTAATATATGTAAGAGCACTTAGAACAATAACTAAAACATGGTGAGGACTTAGGGGTTTTGTTGATTTTATTATCAAAAAGGGCAGAGAAAGGATACTAAGGAGTGCATGAGGCAGTGGAGTGAGGTAATGGAAAGTGTGTGCTGGATGGAGGATATGCCGCTCTTGAAAGAAAGAGGTGGGAACTGGTGCCTAGGACCTTGAAATTTGAGGGGCAACACTGGATGCAAACTATGCACAAGTTGGGAAGCTAGAGCTAGGGAGCCTAGCAAAGCCCTGATAACCACCAAGGATCATTCTAGCAGATAAGAGATTCCAAGCTTAGGGAAAGGGGGACCACCGGAGCCTTTAAGAGTAAACACAGGATTCAGAAGTAGGCATCATGCAGTGGGCATATTTTGGAACATTTACTGGGAAAGAGCTACTGGACAACAATAATTGGTATGGGGAAATTAAGACAAGACCAAATGTGTGAATCATGTAGTGGGGGTTTTAATTCATGGCCTAGGGAAGATAGAACTCTGGAAGCAGTTTGTTATGAAAATATCAGGAGGTGGTGGTGTTATTATTCATAATAACTGTGGCTTAGCAACAATGATGATGATGATTTTAATTATACCACCAGATATGAAGAGACTTTTATAAAATCTGTGATGTGAGTAGGAATACTAAAAATTGTGTAAAAGATTAAACATTTGTGCTTCCTTTTATATTTCATGTTCTGAAATATAAAAGTTGTATGTTTGTGTCTATAACCCCACATTATGCCAATAAGAAAAACTTGTTTCATAAACAACATCATTATTTAAAATAGAATGAAAATAACTGACATTTTAGTGGCTGAAGAGTCCAGAAGAAATAATCAGGGTCAGAGAGTGCTACCCTTAAAATTTCTGTTCATTTACACAAATTTACGTGGCAAAGTTCCATGGGAAGCTGTTCCTTGAAAGAAATTTTGGGTCCTGAAGTCATTAAAACTGATGAGGATGAAAAAAAAAAAATGTTGCCATTGACCTGGGCCATGAAAGGCAAGGTGAATGTCCAGAGTGGTACTTCCTACCCTCTTTAGCCAATATTGCTTCAGTTTTGTTGGTACATTTTCCTGATTTTTTTCCTTACTAATGTTTTCCACTAATCATCTTTTATCCTTAATCATCTTGCTTCCTATTACTGCTTTTTAACAACAAATTTTGACCTCTACAAGAAAGTGGGAGTTGTTTTGGATGTTAATACATGTAAAAATGTATTAGCTACAAATCTTTTCTAATGAACAAGTCCTAATGCTACTGTATCTGACACAAAAAAAATTGTTTTTATTTAAAAAATAAAATTTGAACTGTGCAAAGAAAATTAAATAAGGCCTTTCTTAAGCAGGAAAGAAATATTGAAAGAACTATTTGATTCCGCTAGAGGTGACACATCAGTGCCAAGAGAGAAAGATAATGAGTTTCATAGCTGCAGTGAACAATAACTGTCAGGAGATTTTACTTTTGATTAAAACACACACTTGAGCTTCCAGGGCCTTTTGGTGTTTCCTTCCTGCCTTTCTTCCTGCTTTCCTATTCTCTCTTCACTTCCTTTATTCCTTTAACAGCTATATTGATATATAATTAATATGCATACATTTCACTCATTTAAAATATATAATTCAATAGCTCAATGTATTCCAAAGTCATAGAATCATCACCAAAATCAATTTTCAAACACTTTATCACTCCTGAAGGCCATTGCAAGCTGTTATTCATTCTAAGAACTATGGGAATCCAATTTTAAGTATGAGAGGAACATGATATATTTTACATTTTAAAAAGGAGTGCCTTTCATTTACTATTTTTAACTTGCTTTTGGTCTCTTTATGTATAATACTTGCCCTCACATGTGTTTTTCTCTTGCTTACATTCACCCACCCTGGTTTTGCTTACAACACCCTCTCTGCCTAAAATGTCCTCCCTTCCTCTATATTTCTAATCTCCTTTTCCCCAGCTGCTCGTATTTCCATTTCTCTAGAAACCTTTCCTGTGCTGCCTAATGCCTTCTCCCTCCTTTAGGGGCAGGGCAGGCAGCTCCTCTGGCAGCTCTTCCACCCCAGTGAGCAGCTGCCTTCAAGTTTGCTATACTGCTTTCTGCTGTCTCTTTGGATGCATTAGTCACGTTCTGTTTTCTGTTCCACCGATTTGTGACTATGACCTTGTTCTCTCTACCTCAGCCGCCCACTCTAATACTCATGCTTTCTATCTTGTTATTACCAACAGCTTCAATTCCTTTGTACCCTAAATTTTAACTATCCAACTCTTCAACTATCACCACTCATCTGTCCAGCTCACTGCCTTTGTACCCTGACTTTGGCCCCTCTGAGATTTATGATGACCCTGCCGTTGTTTCACTGTCTCCCACCGCCCTCAGGTTCGCAGTGCTCTCTTACCCAGTGTGACTCCCACGGTCCCTCATTATGCTCATCCTCTGGCCTATAC